TAGAACTTTAAGAGGAGGAATATGGCATCAGGATTGGAGGTAGATTCATCAACAACCTATGTTATGCAGATGACACAACTTTACTTGCTGAAAAGGAAAGAAGACCTGAAGAGCCTGCTTTAGAAGGTCAAGGACTGCAGTCTTTAATATGGATTGAAGCTTAACATCACGAGGACAAAGATTGTCAACACTAGACCAGTTGGCAACACCATGATAGATGGAGAAGAGATTGAGGTGTTAACAGTTATAGCTTGGTTGGCTCCACAATCAGCACTCTTTAACACCAGCAGTCAAGAAATCAGAAGATTAATTACATTAGGAAAATCTCTTAGGGACCTCTCCAGCGTATTGAAAAGCAAAGATGTTAGTCTAGACACAAAAGTGCACCTAATCCAGACCATGGTCTTTGCAATTACTTGCTATTGCTGGACAATGACTAAGGATGGCAAGAATCAATACCTTTGAATTGTGGTGTTGAAGAGTCTTGAGCATACCATGGACAGCCAAGAAAACAAACAGGTCTGTCTTGGAGAGAGTGACACCAAGTTTCTCCTTGGAGGCTAGGATTTTTGAAGCTCTGTCTCACATACTTTGGGCATGTGGGCAGGAGAGACTGGTCCTTGGAAAAGAACATAATGCTGGGGAGGGTAGAGGGACAGCACAGGAGAGGAAGACCCTCAATGAGATGGATTGATAGATTTACTGGGACAAAGGAGATTGGTGTGTCAGAATTAGAGTGGATCAGGACAGAACAGGGTTCAGAGCTACTGTACATAAGGTCGCTATGGGTCACAGGCGACTCGACAGCACATAACAACAACATGTGCAACCATCACTACTCTTTTCCCAGACTTTCCATTGTCCTTTGCAAAAGCAGTGACTGGCCCTTTACCTTCCTCCAGTTTGGGATAACCTTCGATAAGCCTTAGTCTGTGTAAATTTGCCTTTTGTTTTCATTAACCTGTTCTGGACATCTCAACATCATTTTGTGATAGATTGTTTTCATCTAGCATTTTTTCAAAGTTCAACCATATTGTACCATGTATTGGAGCTTCATTTCTCTTTATGGCTGAATAATATCCTGGAAGCCGTAGGAAAGTCAAAAGTTCCTGTCTTTCCACATCTTCTCTAACATTTATTGTTTGCTGTCCTGTTAAACTTTTCTCTTGCTACTGGAACAGGATGGTATCTCTCTGTGATTTTCATTTGCATCACTCTTAATTGCCAGTGATTTTGAGCGTTTCTTCATCTGCCTTCCTTTATGGTTTTTCTGTCTTTTGGGCAGTTTTTGGTTGGGTTATCGGTTTTTTTTCTTCTGATGGCCCTCTAGTATTCTGTAAACTTTAGTTACGAAAAAGTTTCCTTTGAATCTGAAATGTCAATGCCTTGAGACATGTCCTTATCTCTGAAATGTGATTGCCAAATGTTTTTTCATCAGTCTGTAGGTTTTATTTTTGCCCTATTGGAAAAAATTCTTGATGCACACAGGAGCGATCATCTACTGCTGGTGGGATTGTAAAATGGTACAACTACTCTGGAAGGCAGTTTGTCATTTGCTCAAAAACTGAGCATAGAAATCTAATATGACCCAGAGATTGCACTACAGGTAATATACTACAAGAAAAATAGAACTGAGACACAAGCAAAAATTTGTATGGCTGTGTTCATAGCAGCAGTATTCACATGAGAAAGAAAATGGAAACAGCCAAAATGTCCATCAACGAATGGATTGAGAAATCATGATACGTTCACAGAGTGCAATACTGTGCAGCACTAAGTAGTACAACAATTTTATAAAATGCTATATAACATGGGAGAATCTAGAGACATTATACCAAGTGAACTCAATCTCATAAGGACAAATGCTGTATAAGACCATTATTGTAAAAAATAGAAGGATAACTAGTAAGATGTGGATAACAGTCCGAAAGGGGAAGTAGGGAGGGTGGCAGTAGATGAGAAGGGGAAGAAATCACCAGGATAACAGAGTTTAAGGGGGAAGAGGTGTTGGTGGTGAAGGAATTAGTAAAGGTCCACTGCGGACCTACCTGAAAAGACAGGGCAATAGTAGCCATAAATCAGTGGTGATAAGTTTTATAAAACATCATGTGTGTGAGTGGTCCTTTGACGCACAATATGAATGTAGTAATGTGTGAAACAGTGTTTACAATTTTTTATGCAAACCAGTATAGACATAAAAGTTGCTGTTATGTGTCAGAAAGTCACCTGCGACTTACAGTAACTCTGTGTAGTAGCTCTGAACTCTGCTCTATCCTGAGATCTTCCTCTTCTTCACTGTCCCTCCACTCTTCTAAGCATGATGTCCTTCTCCAGAACTGGTCCCTCCTGGTCACATGCTCAGAGTATGTGAGATGGAGCATCAAGATCATTGCCTCCAAAGAGCAGCCTGGTTTCACCCTCTCCAGGATAAACCTATTTGTTTTGTTGGTATCCATGGTAAGTTCAGTACCCTTCTCCAGCACCACAACTCAGAGGCATCAATTCTTCAGTTATCTTGGGTAATTATCTGGTTCTCTGATGCATAGCAATTCCTTACAAAGACCATGGCCTAAATCAGGCTTACTTTAGTCTCCAGACTGACATCATTGCTCTTCAGCATTTTTGAGGGGTCCCCGACAGCAGCTTTTCCCAGAGCAATTCATCTTTTGATCTCTTGACCGCTGATGCCAAAAGAGTGTTGATTGTGGAGCCAAGCAAGCTGAAATTGTTAACAGCCTTGATCTTTTCTCCATCTGTCATGGTGCTGCCAAATGGCCCGGTGGTGAGAATCTTTGTCTTCTGGATGTTAAGCTTCAATTCATACTTGAGACTGGAATCCTTGACTTCCTGCAGCAAATGCTCCACGTTCTCCTCAGTTTCTGTGAGTAAGGCTGTATCATCATAACAATGTAGGTTGGTGAGTATTCCTCCAATCCTGATGCCACATTCCTCCTTGTAAAGTCCAGCCTCCCGAGTGATCTGTTATGCATATAGATATAAAAGATGTGGAAACTGGATGAATCCCTGAGGCACTGCTTTTCTGATTTTGAACCATGCAGTGTTTCCTTGCTCTGATCTGAGTACTACTTCTTGGTCCAAGTATAGGTTTCACATGAGCACAATCAAGTAAGTAAAAGTGGAGAGGGAAAAAAAAGCAAAACTTGTGCTGCATTGGCCAAATGTATTATCAGGAACCTCTATAATGTATTAAAGAATAAGAATATAGTAAGATAAAAAATTGCAGCCTTTAATTTGGATTATATCTCAACATCAAGGAAAAAAATCCTCACCACTGGACCAATAGGTAATCATCATGAAATATGAAGAAAAGATTGGAATTGTTAAGGACTTCCTTTTATGGGGCTCCATAGTTAACACCCAAAGTAGTAGCAGATAAGAAATCAAAAGACATGTTACCCTGGGAAACTCTGCTATCAAGTACCTCTCTAAAACGTTGAAGGGCAAGGATGTTGGTTTTAAGACTAAGGTGCACCTGATCTAAGCCATAGTATTTTCAGTTGCTTAATATACATCAGAAAGTTGGGCAGTGAATAAAGAGGAAGAAGAAGAATCAGTACCTTTGAATTGTCATGTTGGAGAGGAATACTGAGTATACGATAGCCAAAAGAACAACATATTTGTCCAGGAGAAAGTGCAACCAGGGTGCCCCTTAGAGGCATGAATGATGAAACTTGGTGCATGTTGCCGGAAAAGGAAATAATGCCAACAAAGGTAGAGAGCAGGCAGAAAAGAGAAAAAACCCTCAAGTGAGATGAATTGACACAGTGACTGGAGAGGTGGACTTAAGCCTGGCTGAGATCGTGACAGGGGTGCAGGATAGAGCACCATCTGATTATTGGATCACTATGAGTCATCATCGACGCTGTGACACCAAATGACCACCACCATTATGTTTATCTTTTCATCTGTTAATGAATACTGTTACACCAGAGAACAAATTCCAGTTCAAATTCCTAATTCTGTTCTACAACATTAAGGCTAATGATTTCATCCTCAGTTAACATACTTCAGGAGCATACAGAGTACTTCTTTGAGGCAAGGACAGTGAGACTTTGTTTCACATCCTTTGGGCTTGTTGTCAGGAGAGGCCACCTGGGAAAGAACATCATGCTTGGAAAAGTAAATGATCAGTGAAGGAGAAGACGACTCAAGGGGTAGATTTGACACTGACTTTTACAGTGACCTTTGACACAGCAAATTTTGTGACAATGGAACAGGATTGAGCAGGCTTTGATTTGTCAACTGTAAGATGAATCTCTTCTCAGTCAGAGTCAGCATGATGACACCTAAAAACAACAGTATCATCCTGGTAAGCATTCTCCCTAAGGTAAAAATCTTGATAAAAATTTACCTGGGGTCTAAAAAAGAGTTTTCCCCATTAAAAAAAAAAATAAAAGAACTCCATCTCCATAAAGAAGTCCATCTCTACTTCTGAAATAATACCCAAACCTAACCCACTGCTATTAGGTTGATTTCAATACATAGCAACCCTATGGGATGAAGTAGAATTGCCCCATATGATTTCCAAGGTTGTAAAATTGCTACATCTTTCTTCAGAGGATCATCTGGTAAGTTCTAAATGCTGACCTTTGGGTTAGAACATGAGTGCCTTCATAACTGCCTTCAGGGCTCTACACTGAAATATCACAAAATCAAAACTGAACCTACTGCCATTGGATTGATTTAAACACATGGCAACTCGCCATTTGGTTTCCAAGACTGTAAATCTTTATAGCAAGAAACTTCAGGAAGCGGCTCTTTTCAGTTTTTAAGTCTTTGTAGTCTTCATATAACATATCACTAGACCACCAGAGTGCATTAAAATACTGCAAGGTTAATAAAATAAATCAAGACAAAAGACAATGAAACCCATCAGTTTGCTTTATCACTTATTTACTCATCACAGTAGAATGATTTTTAAAAAATATTTTTAAAAATCCAGATTACATTGGTACAATTAATGGTATTTTTTTTTTCAGGTGAAAAAAATTAAAATGCAGGAATCAGGAGAGCAAACATTAAGGTATGTAAAGTTGAGTTTCTTTTAAACAATCTACTTACCTTTTTTATCTCAAGCTGATTAGTATATGGACAAGATGTTCTAACCTTCAGCTTTTAAATTTTGAAGTGAATAGGTTTAAAATAAAAAATTTCTTTAACACATAATTGCTGATTATTGACAAGATTTCTGTTGAATGAGAATGAGGTATTTGTGATGCCTATTTTATACTTTCTGCAGTTGGGGTGAATTTTCCATGCTCTCTCTTGTTTCTTTAATTTTTATCTTGTTGAAAATATATACACCAAAACATAGAGAAATTCAACAGCTTCTACATTTAAAATTTAATGACATTGATTACATTCTTTGAGTTGTATAAGTCCTTTTCCAAGTTTCCTTTCTTTTATTACTATAAACTTACTATCCCCTGAACTACTTAGCTAATCTTTTTGAGTTGCACTTGCCAATCCTCTTTACCAAAACCAAATCCACTACTGTTAAGTCTAATTAATTACCCTAATTGCCACCCTCCATTTGCCTGAAGAAGTTGAAAATCTTTTTTTCCCTTTTTTTTGGGGGGGGGGGTGGAATTGTAAGTTTATAAAGAACTTGGATTTCCATTCATTCAGTGTTGCAATGAAAGAAGCTGCAAATCTTAATGGGGCAGAATGCTCGTCTTTCTTCCTCAGCATGACAGTTGACTTTGGACTATGAGCCTGTCATTTTGCAGCACAGCATAGCAACCCCATATACCACCCCAGCTCCTTTAATCCTCTATATGTATTAAAAGAGCTTAATGCTCAAGGAAAAAATTTTTAGAGTATTTCAGGGGATGTGTTTAAGTTTTAAACATCATCTCAGGGCAATAGTTAAAATTAGTTTATCCATTCTCCATGGCTCAAGAAAGTCTGGAGCTCATGAGAATTTGAAATTCTGTTTAGTATTTCTCCTCTTTTGATCAAGAGTTTTCTCTGAAATTTCTAGTCAAAATGTTCAATAATGATAGCTATCTGCATCTGGTCTCATGACAAAGGAGATAGTTGTTCATGGATGCTCAATTTCTTCCTCCTATTCTTGACTCTCATTTTCCTCTATTATTCTAGATGAGTAGAAAACAATTCTGTGCCTTAGATGACTCTTAAAAACTTTTGATACTTCAAGCACTACACACCAAACTAGGATATAGAACAGAAGCACTAAAACGTATTAGGTAACATTATCTAAGATGCTCCATATGAAACTATGACCTTTTAAGCCTTGAAACCAAGTAGTCAAATCTCATGAGATTTTGGTTATATTATCAGTATCTTTTTATAAATCACATCTCTGAGTTATGTACTGTACTGTTGTATATCCTACTTATTACTAGCAGTCCCCAAGGACCAAACCAACCCACTGCAATTGAATTGATTCTGACTCTGTAGGACAGTTATTAGCCAAGTGCTTTAACCACTACACCACCAGATTTCTTCTCCATTCCTAACAGTATAAACACCAACCAACCAAAATCCCAGATGTTCTTTTTTTTTAAAAAAAAACACACTTTATTTTAATAATTTTATTTTATTATTATTGTGTGTGTACCGTCAAATCAGATCTGACTGGTACAGGAGGAGATTGCCCTTCCTTCTACAGCAGAGCATCTGGTGGATTTGAACCACATGCCTCCGGGATTGCAGTGCAGCTTTTTGCCACTAGGCCACCAGCGCTGTTCTTAAGTGTTATTCATTGTTATTCACTAAAATATTTGGGGACTACCTCTGTTGGAATAGTGCATAATTTTCCTGTAGATAGTAATTTGAAATCTATAGCAGAGTGGTAACATTGATTGATTCCCTATTCTGCTTTAACATAATGCAGGCCATAGGATAATTATTCTCCTACAACCTAATGCAGGTTATAGGATTTCTAAATTAATCTGGTGTGTTTCAGACTAATATCTCTCTCACCAGCTTCTAAGATAGAAAACTTCGAAGTATCTTTTAACAGTGGGTAAAACAGTGAAACGAGCTATCTAGAAAAGACAAATACATCATTATAGTCAGAAAATGACCATAAATAGTCAGAAATCTTAAACCAGATTTATTCCCACCCTTAGAGAATTCTCTGAGTAAGTAGGGGATGAGGCCCAGATGTCCGCATTCTTAACAAGCTTTTAGGTAAAAATGACAGCGAATACACCAGTTTGGGAGACATTTTGTAACTACTCAGTATGATTTCTTACCTTTGACCTTCAGTTCTCATAGTCACATTTTGATGAAAATGTTAAGTGCTTTCCCCAGAATGTATATTTAAAGGCATTTGAGTAAAGAGTTAAATATAAACTTCAGCTGGGAATTTATATTTAACAGTCATATCTGAGGACAATTTATTTGGATATTCATAACCCCTATTACCAGACAAGTAAACCTGATAATAATATAATTTAATATTGGCAGTTTTATAAATGTTATAAAAGCTAAAAGGAGTTTTGACACTGTGGTGGTGTAGTGGGTAATGAGTTGCACTGCAAATCCATTACCTGCTCTGAGGGAAAAAGAGGGACAGTCTCCTCCAGGTCAGTTTATGCCCTCTGAAAACCCACTAGGAGTTCAGCTAGGAGTTGATTCCAGCTCAGTGGCACATAACTAACATTTTATTTAAAAATTTTGTTGTGTAGGAATTCATCATGTTTTCCTTTCCACATCACTGAAACCTCTACTCCAGTGTCTTCCAGTTTTCCCTAGAGTATAGAGGAGCAAAACAGGGTTCTTTCCAGGGAACATGAATTTAGAAAGAAGTTGTAATAAAAAAAATAATAATAATAATTACCCTTATGTAGTACCTATTAATTTATAGTCTCGCTCTAAGTACTTTTCACATATTAACTCATTAATCCTCATAATCTATGAGGTAGATTCTGTTATCCCCACTTGACAGATGAAGAATCTAGGATACAGAGATTCAGTGACTTGCCCCACTGTCAGAGATCTAGTTATTGAAAGAACGGAATAAGAACTCTAGCAATCTGACTTTAGAATCTGCACTCTTCGCCATTAAGCTGTAATTGTCCCTGGGTTAATTTCTGTTGTCCATTTTATGTATAACCTACATTTAGGAGACAGCCTTCACAAAACCTTTGTATTAAAAATTCAAGGTTCTTGAAAAGGCTCCTAAAAACAGACAGGTCTTAAAAATAAAGATGTTACGGGGAGCTCTGATGGCCTAGTGGCAAGGAGCTACAACTATAATCCCAGAGGCGCACGGTTCAAATCCACCAGATGCTCTGCCGGGGAAGGAGGGACAAATCTCCTCCTGTACCAGTCAGATCTGATTTGACGGTACACTCACACAAAAATAATAAAAAATTTAAAAAAAATAAATAAAGATGTTACTTTGCAGCACATATGAAAATACTGTTACTATAACTGTATTATTAGTGTTTTAATGTATTTTGAAGTGTTTCTTCTGTAATTTTTATGCATAGAACAGTATACTTACATCCTAAAACACTTGACTAGCTGATGTCAGATATGAATCAGGCTTAACTGGGCAAATTTAACATACAAATTCTACTTAAAGACTGACATAGTAACAGAACTTGTTTATAGTCCAAATCCTCTAGTATTTATACTAGTGCATGAAGATATAAGTGGAGGATGGAAAGTATAGTAGAAGGAAAAGTGAAAATATTGTGAGAAGCAAAGTTAAAATACTCTTAGTTCTGTAATTTGTGTGAGGATCTTCCCTCCTAACATGAAAGTATTTGACAAAATGATTTGTTCTCCCAATTTACCTTTGAAATTTCTCTAAATTTTCCTTATAAAAATTTTTAAAAAGGAACTTCCTTAGTCTTCAGTATTACATATAAAAATGAAACTCATTGACGTTTAGTCAGAACCAAATAATAGCTGACCCTCCACTAGGTTTTCCAAAGTGGTATTGCACAGGAGGAAGTTGCCCACCTTTCCTAGAGCCACTGATTATTTCCAAATGCAGAGAGATAAGGCCTTTGGGTTAGCAACACGATGTCCTCCAGAACACACCACCAGACCTTCCCTCATATATACATAATAAAGTTTTGTTAGCGGAAAAATGCAGTGTAGTGAACTATTCCAAGGGTTCAGTACCCCTCCTTGCAAGCAACCATGTATAATTTTTTAAAACTTCTTATGTGATTTTGAAGCAATTGAGAACTACTTGTCTGAAATAATCTGCTTGGTTGCTTCAGGTGCTTTGGACCCAAAGTCACAGAACAGTGGTGTAGAATTCTGTTTTTAAAGAAACTCTCACTTTCCCTGTGGCTTACCTGGAGTTTCTGAGATAAAAAAACTTAATAGAGTCTGGGGACCAAACAATAGCATCAGAATGCGGAGGCTACTATAAGCCCTGGACCGCTTAACAAGTAGCTGCCAAAAAATGAAAACCTCATGAAGAGAAGTATCTTACCTCTTACATATATATCCCAGGAGTTTCTCCTTTTTGGAAATACAACAAATCAATCAGGCTAATATGTTTATTTTGATTCTCCCAGTCAAGTAAACAACCCAGAAGTCAATGATCAGAAACCGGAAACTTCAAGTCTTGCATCAAACCTTACCATGTCAGAAGAAAGTAAGTACTATGATAAAAGAGGTGTTTTCCTATACCAGGTGATGCTGTTCTTCTAGAATTGTTTTTCATTGATGCCTTGTTTATCCTAGAATATCCAGAAAGCTTTTTTACCCTTGTGTATGCATGTGTGTTCCTCTTTGTGGTCTATTCATTGCTAGCCAAGGAACAAAATCCCATGGAATCTGTTCACCCAAGGGATCACACATGGTGATTTTATTTCTGTTTTGAGGTTAAGTGTTCTAAAGGTAATAGCTGTTACTGGTAGGTAGTGTGGAGCTGATTACAACTTAAAGTGGCCCTTTGAATAACAGATAAAACCTTGCCCTTTCACTATCCTCACAATCTCCACCATGCTCCAGTCCATTTGTAGTCATGTTGTCCATCTCATTGAGGGTCTTCCTCTCCCTTGCTGATACTTTTCCACACAGTCTTTTCCTAAGGACATCTTGGCAACCTGGTCAAAGTAAATTCCATCATCCTTACCCTTGTTACACTTCCTCCAAGACAGAGGTGTTCTTTTGGCAGCCCTAAAATTCAGACATCAATTCTTTGATCTTCCTTGTTCATTGTCCAACTTTTACATGCATTCTAAACAATCAAAATGCTATTGCTGAAGTTAGGTGACCTTAGTCTTTAATCTCACATCCTTGCTTTTTAGCAAATTAAAGGGCACCTTGACAATGCATTTGCCCAGTGCTTTGTATATAGTTGGTTTTTTTGACTGCTGCTACTATGGAGGTTGATTATGGATCCAAGTAAAATAAAATCCTTAGAAATGTCAGTCTTTTCAATTATGGTATTGCCAGTTGTGAGAGGTTTTGTTTTTTTGATGTTGAAGTATAATCCATATTGAAGGCTATAGTCTTTGCTCATCTTTTTTTTTTTTTTTTGCATTATTTTTTGTGTGTGTGTACCGTCAAATTGGATCTGACTGGTACAGAAGGAGATTGCTCCTCCTTCTCCAGCAGAGCATCTGGTGGATTCTTGCCACTAGGCCACCAGAGCTCCCTCTTTGCTTGTCTTTTGTAAGTACTTCAAGTTCTTTACATGATCTGGTTTCTCAAATTACTTGCTCAACATTACATGTTAAATAAGTATGAAGAGAGGCTACAACCCTGATGTATATATTTCCTGATTTTAAACCATATATTATCTCCTTTTAAAAACCATCTTAAGTATAGATTTTGATGCGTTAAGCACTAATTACTAAAGATCAGACAAGTTACGAAATAATATCAAGGATATCCTACATGGAAAAAACAAAAGGTTGTTAAAAAGACAGATGTCAGAAGAAACTCTGAAACTTGTTCTTTAACATAGAGAAGCCAAAAATAAGAGAAACGATGAAGGGAACTGAAGATTTCAAAGGACAGCGTGAGCTAATAAAACAAAGTATTATAACAAAATGTGCAGAGACTAGAATTAGAAACCCAAGAGAAGAAGACATTCCATTTTCCTCAAGTTTAAAAACTAAAGAACAAAGCCTTGAGTTGCAAGACTGAAGAATGATGGACTGATATTACTGAATGATGCAAGAAGCATTAAAAGAAGATGGAAGGATGTGAGCTCTTGTGGCCTAGTGGCAAGAAGCTGTACTGCAGTCTCAGAGGTGAGCAGTTTTAATCCAACAGATGCTCTGCCGGAGAAGGAGGGACAGTCTCCTCCTGTACCAGTCTGATCCGATTTGACAGTACACACATCATCATCATCATAATAATAACAAAATTTTAAAGAAGAATACACAGTTATTATACAAAAAAAAATTGGTAATACTGAGCCATCTCAGGAAGTTATGTGATAAAGAACCAGTTATGATGATGATGTTGTTGTTGTTGTTGTTGTTGTTGTTGTTGTTGTTTGTACCTTAGAGTCAGAACTGACCCATAGCTGACCCTCTGGCAGGTTTTCAGAGGCAGTAAATTGCACAGGTGGAGATTGCCCATCCTTCTCCCATGGAGCAGCAGGTGGCCTTAAACTACATCCCTTAGGGATTTGCAGCACAGTTTCTTGCCACTACGCCACCAGAGTAGTAAAGAAGAAAGGAATTCAAGCTGCACTGAGGGCACTGACAAAAAATAAGTTTCTAGGAATTGATAGAATACCAGTTGAGATGTCCACCAAATAGATGAAGCCCTGGACGGCCTCCCCAGGCTATGCCAGGAAATTTGGAGTATTGCTACCAGGTTTACTGAGTGAAAGAAATCCATATTTGTGCCTGTTTCAAAAAGTGATGCAGCAGAATGTGGGAATTAGTGAAAAATCTCAGTATCACACTGGAGTTAAGTTTTGTTAAAGCACTAGATAGAAGAAGACCTGTCAGAAATTCAAGCTGGATTTAGAAGGAACTGCTGAACAAGGAATATTGTTGAATCTGGATGGTTCTTGCCTGAAAGGGAATACCATAAAGAGATTTATTTGTGTTTTATTAACTATGCAAAGATATTACCTTGTGTGGATTATAATAAATTATGATAGCACAGAGAATGGGAATTCTAGCACTCTTAATTGTGCTAATATGATACCTATACATAGACCAAGAGGCAGTCGTTCAAACCGAGCAAGGAGATAATGCATAGTTTAAGGTAAGGAAAGGTAGTAGTGCCCCAAATCAGAAAGTTTGTGGCTAAATTCTTTGTGCTGGTACAAAGGACTTAATATTTTTCTGCATTTCTAGTTAAAAAAGAAAAGCAATCCACTGAAAGCCCAAAATTGCTACTAGACCTTGAGATAGATCCAGTTTAGTAAGATGCACACTCCACTTGCCAACCCTTTCCTCACTCTTCTAAAGAACAATTATTCATTCATTAAACAAAGGCTATAGTGTTCTGAGAAGATAAAGTCTCTCTCTAATATATCGATGATATTGTTCTGTAGTTTCCACACTCAGTTGGGTCGCCCTTCTTTGGGATGGGAACAAATATAGACCTCTTCTAGTCAGTTGGCCAAGTGGTTGTTCTCCAGAT